CATGCTAAGATATATAGTAATATTATAATTTTAAATTATTAATATTTACTAATTAAATTTTAATTATTAATATTTACTAATTAAATTTTAATTATTAATTATAAAATAATTTAACATGTAAATATGATAATTATTTTAATGGATCAGATTAGAGAACTAATTAATTAATTAAAATCTTAAAAAATATTTATAAGATTAAACATATTTAAAAATATTTATATAATTAAATATGATTTATATATTTATATATATATATATATATATATATATATATATATTATTTTCAAAAGTGATAATGATAATGTTTTCAAATAAGTGATAATTTAAAAGTTTATATCACTTAATTTAAAAGGTACTAAAAAACAATTTCATGATAAACACTTACAATAATGGACTAGTATCATTGATACTTTGGACAAATAAACCAGCAAAAGATTAGCATATTGTATTGAGTAAACATTATTAATCAGTAAACAGATGCCAGATTAGAAACAATGCACTGCATCGGCGCTGTTCACATCATAATAGAAGAAGCCACCAGAATGAATTTTCTCAAGTTTGCCTTGTCGTTTCGTCATCATACTTTTGAGTGACTCATAGAACTTTTTACTTGGTGTCATCTTATCCAGAGAAGGAAAGAAAGACAAGTGAACAAAAATAAACAAATAAAACAGAAAGAATGTGGAGGTGGCACGACTGTGTGGGACTTAATGATAAGAACGTTAACACTAATCTTCATCACATAGACATGTTGTGGATGAACCTGAACCTTCTGAGAGTGAGTGGCAGAGATCGAAGCCGCCAAGGAAAATTTGTTTATAAAGGCTTTATCGAAATAAAATAAGAAAAGAGAAGAAAATAAAGTTCACACAACTGAGATGATGAGATGAAATCTTAGTGGAAATACTCTCTGAAAAAATGCTGTTGATCAAGTGCAAGTACATATGCAAATTTTATATGTAGCCTGTAGTATTGTAAGTCAAGTAAACCCTTTTATTCTCTGATTGATGACTTTGTTAAGAGAATTTTTCATATGTCACTGACTATCAAATATAGGGAAAATGTGATAGAGTGCATTCATACTTTCTTTTTTAATTACTTAACTACTATTGAAGATATTGGTTAGTATTTCCCAATAAAAATGAGTATATTTTTCTAGTACGTGTCTCTTCTAATACTTCTTTATGCAAATAAGTCATAGATTATTAGATTCGTTTTTTTGTTTTATTTTCTCTTGTTTATCTTAAGCATACGCTAGTGTCTTTCCACAGCTGCAACGTGTCGCGTTATATTGAACCAAACAACACAGTTTTTCATCTTATGAATTACTTTAATAGAGTTGAGCAATCAATAATTTATTCATCATCAACATCATCATCAACCACCACATGATTCTCTCTTTCTCTCACACCACAGTCTCAGACTGAACACAAATAGTTATCAGTGATCACCACCACCACCTCAACTTAACATGTCATCGCAGGGTTACCTTCACAGCGTTGGCTTCACCAGGAAAAGAGAAAGGCTTATCAATCCTATGGACCGAGTCTCACCACAGCCGTCAACCTCGGTTCAGAACCAAGCTGTATCAGAGTCACTTCCTCTGCCCTTCCTCCCTAATGAGCTCGTTGTTGAAATTCTCTCCAGACTTCCCGTAAAGTCTTTGTTGCAGTTCAGGTGTGTGTGCAAGTCGTGGATGTCCCTTATTTCTGATCCTTATTTCATGAAAAAGCACCTTCACCTGTCAACTCGAAGTACCCACTTCAACCATCACAGGATCATATTGAGTGCCACAACAGCAGAGTTTCACCTTAAATCATGTTCTGTGAGTTCCTTGTTCAATAGCCCTTCAACAGTTTGTGATGACCTTAGCTATCCTGTGAAGAACAAGTTTCGTCATGATGGGATTGTTGGATCTTGTAATGGATTGTTATGTTTTGCCATAAAAGGTGATTGTGTGCTTCTTTGGAACCCCTCTATGAGGGCCTCCAAGAAATCACCACCTTTGAGTAATAATTGGAGACCAGGGTGTTTCACTGCCTTTGGCCTTGGTTACGATCATGTCACTGAGGATTACAAGGTGGTTGCTGTGTTTTGTGATCCTAATGAGATTTATAGTGAGTGTAAAGTGAAGGTGTATAGCATGGCCACCAACTCTTGGAGGAAGATTCAGGATTTCCCTCATGGTTTCTCACCCTACCAAAATTCAGGAAAGTTTGTTAGTGGCACACTCAATTGGGCTGCCAATCACCCTGTTGGTTCAACTTCTTTGTGGGTTATTGTTTCCTTGGATCTGCATAAGGAAACATATAGGGAAGTTCTGCCACCTGATTATGAGAAGGAAGACTGTTCCACTCCTACTTTGGGTGTTTTGCAAGAATGTCTGTGCATGAATTATGATTACAAGAAAACTCATTTTGTTGTGTGGATGATGAAGGATTATGGGATAAGAGAGTCTTGGTTTAAGTTGGTAAGCATTCCTTATTTGCCAAATCCAGAAGATTTTTCCTACTCAGGGCCTTATTACGTTTCAGAGAATGGTGAAGTGCTGTTGATGTTTGAGTTTGACTTGATCCTCTATGATCCAAGAGATAACTCTTTTAAGTACCCTAGGATTGAGAGTGGGAAGGGCTGGTTTGATGCAGAGGTCTATGTTGAAACTCTGGTTTCGCCAATGAAGCATTGAACTGGATGTGTCAGGCAAAGCAAGCTTAAGGAAAAATAAAATGTGTAAATTATTTTGAGTCCATGTGATCTTATCTTGATACATGTTTTTGGCATTATATGTGTAATATGTATATGCAGAATTGTATAAATGTCCTTAATATTTTAAGCTAAGTGTTGTTACTTGTGTCGATCACCATGTATCCATCACTGATGGAAAATCCTACTTCACTTATTTGTTAGTAAATGGAAATTGGTATATGCTTTCTTGCTTATGGTGTGAAGCATATATTTAACTCGTCTTAAATGTTGTCATTTCATAAAATAGAATCTGAGACTTTTTCTTAAGCTAGAGAAAGGACAAGTAACAGACTTATTTGGAGAAAAAGATACACTCTGCTTGTGAAATGTAAAAAACATAAAAAAAGAAAACGGTTATATACCAAAGCCTATTCCCTTGCTTATGTAACAAAGCACAATACCCAACTTGACCATAGGAAAAAAGTATAGAATGGAAAAAGCATAAAGGCTGAAGAACCGGATTCTCTAGCACAACACTGGAAGCAGATTTGTGGCCTGAAGCCTACTGGAGAATGCTTTTAAGTGAAATACACAACAAGATGAGCCTTCACTATTGGAGTAGACCTTATCCAGATTTTCTTCAGACATGACCTGTTTCTTTATTAAGTTATGATTGTATTTTAATATATAAGAGTTGTCATTGTAACTCGAAGAATCTACTCTAAGCTACTATAAGAGTTTTGGTAAAGTGGTTGTTCTGGGCCAATAATTTAGTGGCTGTAGGCAGATAAAGGCAGGCGAGTGAGAGTTTCTTAACAATGATAAACCAAAATCCTTAAAATCTCAGGGTATCATATAATTTCTCTACTAATTGTGATAAAACACTTGAGATTTTTTCTATGGGATCCTGTTAAAGGAAATGTCAGGTAAGCTCAACTTTCAAATTCTCATTTTAGTCTTTAAAATTAAAAGTGTTTGTCGTTTTATTCTTCAATTTTTCAGAATCTTCAATCCTTGATTTTACAAAATATAACTAATTCCAATGTTTGTACTCTATTTATACTGTCATTTTGCACTAAAATAGACTAAACTGAATGATGTTTTGCAGGTTAAGAGCAACAACGATAATTTTATAAAGTTAAGAAACACTGAGAGCTTTTAGGAACAAAATTGTAAGTGTTTATTTCTTAAATAAGTATATTAGACACAAATAACTGAGATTCCCAACTCTCATTCTGAAAACATGGTCGTATTTTTCATTAGTAATCATCATCTTACCACCACTGAATTTGTTACTACCAACGTTATCTTTTTGTAGAAGTACAATTACACCCTTTGAGAGTGGAAGTGATGCTCCCTCCACCACCCCTCTTCTCCCTACACCTTCCCAATTTTTTTAAATTCCAAATTTACCTTTTTTACCTTTTACTTTTACCAATTTTATTTTTTATTTTTTAAAACCCTAATCTCAATCCCCTTTCACTTTCGCTTTCTCTCTTACTCTCAGTAGCAAGCTCTCCACCCCTCACCCCACTATCACCTTCTCTCTTCCACTTCCGTTAACACAACATTTTCTTTTTCTTTTTTTCTCCCGACATAACTTATTATTTCTTTTTCAAATCATCTCAATAATCAACAATATGCACTTAATCAACTATAAAATAAATATCCTCTTAGTTGAGTTTTCACTGGTTGTGTTTGCTAAAGTCTAAATTCCTCTCCTACATGGGCCTCCATGTGATCTCTTAAAATGGGGAACACAACAATGCTGCTACTACCTAGTTTCTTGTAATCACTTACGTTAATAATATTATTATAACAGGTTTTGATTATACTAATTGTTGCACTACCTGAAAGCTCCTTGTTATAAATGACTGCAACTACACGAGCATTGTTTCAATGTCTCTGGCTCTGATGATGGAAAGAAAGAAAGAAGAAACGAAAATGGAAAATGTTGTGTTAATGGAAGTGAAAATTAAGAAAAATAGATAAAGTGACAGTGAGGTGTGGAGGCTTGTTGTCAAGAGTGAAAGGGAAAGTGAAAGTGAGAGAGAATTGAGATTAGGGTTTTAAAAAATAAAAAGTAAAATTAGTAAAAGTAAAAAGTAAAAAAAGTAAATATGGAATTTAAAAAAATTAGGAAGGTGGAAGAAGAATATGGGGTGGTGGAGGGAGCATCACTCTAAGAGTGGATACTAGTGAGTCATCACTAGGCCCATTTATCATGTGTAGAAACTACGTTTTAGGATATTTCTTTCTGCACCCTACTTGGTCTTCCTACATTTCCCATTTATTATTTTTTATTTACATTTAACTTTTAAGTTTATAAAATGGAAGTGGTAGAAGCACTAATATTGAAGTTTCCTCTGAATTTTATATCACAAGTTTAAATCTAAGTCTTATGAATGCTCCATTAATGCAGAGAGAGAAAGAGAAAGATTGTTGAGGATAGTGAGGAGGTGTCGGATATTTTTGGAATAAAAAAAATAATAAAGAGGTATAGAGTATTTTTGGAATAAAAAAAAATAGTGGAGAAGTGCATAAGCACTTGAGGTGGTGGAGGAAGCAACACCCAAAAGACAGAAGGTGAGAAAAGAGAGTGAATAAGAGGATATACCACTCCCTACTTTTTCTGCCAAACTTAAAAAGAATCAACATTTTATGCTTATTTACCTTTTTTTTTTAATTAACTACTTTACATTCTTTAAGCATAATTTTATATGTCTTCTTCATCTCGAATCATTTGTTGATCAATATTACATGCAATTACAAAATGAAAATATAACATAATACCATCAAATTAAGAGAGAAGTACAAAGTAATCTATCACATCCTATTATTTCCAACCAACATTTCCTCTACAAATTAATTTTAATCAATAAATATAATTAAATTAAATATATAAACAGACGGCAGAAAGTTAATAGGTAGGGTAAAATGAGCTACTTTATGCGAGTTTGATTAAAAATTTTAATCCATGAATTGGATTTGAATTTTCAATCAGTTAGTCTTTGGTCCGTCATGCTAAGATATATAGTAATATTATAATTTTAAATTATTAATATTTACTAATTAAATTTTAATTATTAATATTTACTAATTAAATTTTAATTATTAATTATAAAATAATTTAACATGTAAATATGATAATTATTTTAATGGATCAGATTAGAGAACTAATTAATTAATTAAAATCTTAAAAAATATTTATAAGATTAAACATATTTAAAAATATTTATATAATTAAATATGATTTATATATTTATATATATATATATATATATATATATATATATTTTTTTTTTTTAAATTACAAAATTTAGAAAAATAACAGATCGATTCACCAACACGTTGGATCATATATTAGCGAGACAGATCAAGTTTCGGAGGCTTCTTTCTGTAGCTCATTGTTTTTTTCCTTCACCCCAAAATTTTTATTGCTTTCCATATTGACCCCTCCTAATTATATATTAAATATTAAAATATAACTTTCATCTTCTTCCTTCTCGGATACTAACCATGCACCGAAACCCTTCTTTGCTTTTGTCGGGTAAGGATCATGAATATGGGAATGGGCACTCCGGTGTGAAGTGATGGATCCATGAGTGAGAATTGCAATAGAAGTTGCAATTGGATTATTGTTTTTTAGGGGTGTAGTTATATCTACAATATCGTGGTCTAATTGTAGGGGTGTAGTTATACTTATCAAATTCGGAAAAAGCTAATTGTAATTTGGTGAACTTGATGGATATTGTTTTAGGATACTCTTTTCCATGTGAGTTGATGAATTTTTTCAAAAAGGTGGATTTCATATAAAAAATAAAGTAACGGAAGCAAATAAAAATAAAAAGATGAAGATGTTGGTGTTGTATAGTCTTGATACATATCCTTTTAGAAGGTGAGGTCAATCATGAAAGAGAAGATAAGAAGATTAGATAATCTGGTTTTCACTCTCGAACTCAGAGCTTCAAATTGGATTGTCCATTCCATTAAACAATGATCATTCTTTCTTCAACGAGCTCATTGTCTCTAAGATAACCTCCCATCTTGAAGGTCATGAACATCGAATTTGAGAAAAGCTAACCGAATTCATAGTCTAATATCGATTAATCAGAACACATAATATGATTTTCTCTTATTGGATTTAATACTCTTAATCAAATTTTCACCATAGTCAAAGCCAAAAGAGTATTTTTGTCATTTTAAATTTTTTGGAGATATAGAAAAAAAAACAATGGAGTTGAGAAAAAAGTTCTCTCAAGTTTTAATGACAATGATGAATGATGGACCAAGTCAAAATGGACCAAACTGATCAATTTATAGTCTCTAACTTAGTAGAAAAATATGTTAAAGTAATAAAATAATTTGTTAGATATATTAAATTATTAGATATTTAAATATTTTATCTTTATTGTTTATGTTTAATTAATTTTTTATTATTTATATTTATATTTTAGGTTTAATCCATATTTATTTTCTTATAAAATACATTTAAACTTTATATATAATTTTTACTATATTCAACCTAATTAATAATTATTTATTATATTTTGAAAACATTTATCCTTACCATTAAAGATATATATTAAATAGTATAAAGTCATAGGTCAATAATTATTTATATAACTCAAACGCGATTATCTCTCAAAGATTATTGTGATTAAAAATATACTATATAAATTGGTGTAGTTTATTTATGTGGGAGTATTTAAATTCGTGAAGAAAGTATCGGGATTTGATAGTGAAAAATTCAATATATTTAAGTAAAAACACTTCATTAAAGATAAATAGCAAGTTCCGTGTCACTTTAAAAATAAACAAATTCATCCAAAAATATTAAAAACTAAAATATAAGGGAATCAGAAGTCGATTCAAGCGGATATAATATACCCTAAAAAATTATATACTCGTTGAAATTATATTAATTTCAACAATTATTATAATTATACCTTTTATAATTAAAAAAATCAAATACTTGTATCTTTTTATTTTTTTTATTCGAACTAAGATTTACAATTACTCGCTTATGGCTTAATTGAGTATAGATTTTGTTTCCTCTATTTTTTTTTTGGATAATTAAAAATGAATTTAATCAACAAATAAAAAGTCTACTTTTTAATTCATCTAGCAAGTTTAGGTTATGGAGTTTTTTTTATGTGTTTTTCAATTATACCTTTTTTTAAAAATATTCCGATTCCTTTGCTTAAAGATTGATCACGTCAAGTCAAATATTAAAACTAAATAGTTCACTAAA